GTTTTAGAAAATGATTATTTTGCAAATCGATTCATCTGACCAACATTTTTTTTTAAATTAATCGATTAATGATCAGATAGCCAAAAGGTTCCTTAAAGAAGACTTTTTGTGAAATCATACTAAGTGAAAATAAAACTTTTCCAATTGAGGAGTTTTAGATAGAGCATATTGACAAAGGAAAAAGATTTTTACCTGAATTGCAAAATGATTACACTTTTCTTTTTTTTATAATTTTAGATATAATTGCTGCTCAAGGTGGGTTGCTCTGTTGCTAAAGGCAAATTTTAATCTCTACACTCCTGTAAATGATTACTTCAATAATCGAATAATGGTCTTAGCCCAAGTTTTGAGAAAAGCCTAACTAAGTTATAGTGTTTTTAGACACTGAATAAGTTTATAGCAAACTATTTGTATGACGTTTGCTGGAGTTGGGCTATTGTCATACATTCAGGATAAACTCTGATGATTCTGCCCATGTTTATGGTAGCTACTCTAGTGAAACCAATCAAATTTCCAATCATCATTATTCAGCTAATAAATAATGAAGGTGGGTTTGACAGCAGTATGATTGATGGTTTGTACTCAAGTGGCATAAGTGATTAAAAACTGTTGTATTATACTGACAATAGTTCTACTTCTACCAATATAAATTGACTGACTAATTAATTAGAATCACTTATTGCTTTCCTAATAGTTTTTCTCCCTTTTAAATTTCTCCACCCCTCCAATCAATATGATGCATTGACTGCTCTTTTCAAATTATTTGGTATTAAAATCCTAATCATGGCTGAAATAAAACTCTCTAAACAGCTTATTATGAGGAAATCAAGCTACCTCAAGATAATTTCTGTAATCAGAATCCTGTGGTGAGAGCAGAAAGAAAAGATTACATTTCTTTCTGAATGTGCAAACAGATGTCGTGTGGCTTTTGAATCCCAGAGTCAGATGTAACATTCGTATTAGCATGCAGTGATACATCATTTCTGATGTTCTTGTACAGTACTCTATTCTGACAGATAACCAGGTAATGAACAGAGAAGCCTGGGGGATCAAAATTAGGTGTTACATTTGAATTACAACATTAATTATTCATGAATTAGCAATATTTCATTATTTTTTTCCTAGTTATCTGTATTTCATCTCAGCTTTATCTGTTAATGAGTATAAGATTAGATCCTTTCAAATTCTGATTTCGAAAAGGGAGTGAAGTACATGGACATTCAAATATTATATCATTGGTTTACAGGAAAGATAAAGCATTTGAAAAAAAAATACATATTTTCAGGTTGTGTGGAGATTTCTTGAGGACCCAAAAGCAGAGACCGAAGCAAAGTGGTTTCTTGTAGGTTTCATAATCCAAAGGGCAACGGAAGCAAAAACCATAACCAGAAAACAACACAAAATAAAAAATGAAACCAATAAATTAGAAAACACAAAAAGAAGTGAATAGAAGTATAACTGAAAACTTAAAAAGGAAACTTATTATAGAATCATGAAACATATTATGTCAGGAGTTCAAACTGGAAACAATTGGCTTTTAGCATGAACAAGTACAGTGGTAACCTAGCAGCTGTTCCTTTTCCCTCAATAATTTCACTTTCAAATCAAGATGCTCGTCTTTGAATTTGATCTTTAGGTTCTTGCCGTTCCTGAACGACTTTTACTTTTGTTTCTCCCCTACTGTTGAAAAAAATCTGCACGTAGTTTGAAAATCTAAATTTGAGATGCAAACTGCAAACGTTTGAAGGTTTTATCTGTGTGTTCTTTCCTAGATACAAACGAACACAATGACATCTCTCCAGGACTTAGAATGGTTTGCCAATTGAATATTTGAAAGAATGAGATTACCTGATAGAGCCTCAGTTGTGTGGCTGTGTTCTGCTCTAAACGCATTAGCAAATAAAGTTTTTCCATAAGTGTGCGAGTCATTCTTCCAAAGTGTCAAACTGAGGTCACTAGTTCAGAATCAGTTATTTGTGTGACCTTCTTTACTCCCCTTTAATCCCCCCAGTTCATGCTTCATTTGAAAGCTTTTCCAGTTATGTATTTAACTTTGTAACATGTTGAGTGTCTAGATAAAAAAAACTGATCTAAATAGTCAGGGGCCTGACCATTTACTGGTAGCCAGTGTGAGGATTACTGTGTAGAAAAGTACTATGTTTGGTAAGAAAGTATCACGAATCTATTGACAGAGGCAAAATAATCTCTGCAAAGTCTGAAGTAAAGAAATTTAGGTACCATAAAATGAGGAATCGTAGCACAGGATTTGAAAAGCTGTTTAATTCAAAACTAATGGAAGGGATTGTCATAGAGGTTTTAAATTTGCCAAATAGTGAGGATAAACTTTAACATTGGGAGAGATTGGATGGCAGCTGATGATATTAAAAAGCAGTGACCAAAGAACAATTAATTTGACCCCATGGTTGTCGTTATATCAACATGGTTTTCCTGGAATGTCTTTTCTTTTTAAGGTCAAACAAACAAATTAACTTAAAAATCGGTTGCACTGGGTATGAAATTACACAATGGTGTCAAATATGATGTTGGTGATAGGATATTCATCTCTGCTCAAAATCTTTCCTCTAGGGACAAAACTTATGATAAAACTGTAAAGAGTTGGAATACAACTGATGTCGGTTTTATATTTATTTTACAGAAGCCCTTGATGCTGCTGCCTGCAGTTACAGTTTGTAGGAAGAACTAGAATTGAAACACGATAATACATTCTCAAATATTTCAAAATCTATTCAAACATTGTGGATTCTGCCCAGATCTAGCCGTGGCTTTAAGAATAAAGAATCTGTGCCACACTGCATGCTATTGTATTTTCCCTCACCCATTCTGCGACTGAGACCTACCAAAACTCTGCACAGCCTTGAAAATCCAGCTACAATTCCGAGGTTGAAGCGGTAGTTACCATGGCAACTGTGCTTTTTATTTTTGGCTCCTTTGAAACAGTGTGCAAGATTTAGAGATCCCGAATGTTATGTAAGATGAAGTACCCTGTTTCAGACTGGGGTTTCCCACTGCAGCGAACTTAATTAATTATGGGGGAATGGCACACACTTCAGGTGCTCCAGTGTGTACATAAGGGCCCTGATCACATCCTTTCATTTTATGAATCAGACTATAATTTCTTTGCAGGAAGCTGTAGGCACAAGTTCTACTGTTAAAAGAAGTGTTAGACACATTCTTCTGATTTGCTCTGTCAGTTAGAAAAGCCTCATATCTTATTAGTGGATTTAATTTGATCTGGTTTATTTATTTTAAGCCATACATTCACAATATATACATATATAAAGCATTGTGTCACAAACTAATCCGCATACTCTGTACCCCATGCTGGCAAAAGAAACCAACAAATATTAAACAGAGATCTATTCTGCAGCATATGTATAAACATGAAACTTTTATGCAATACTTTTGCATCTATACATAATCGGAAGTCAATTTGGCTAAACAAAAAAGAAGATAACTATTTTACTCCCATTCCCTATTCTAAAATAATATATATGGTTGTTACTGTACTTAAGATATAATAAACCGTATCTTGTCTCTGTATTGTATGTCAAGAATAGTTCATTTCTGCATAATGTATATTTATAATACAGACATATGTATTGATATAATGTGTCTTTGTTCAGAGATGAAAAGACAAAGATCTACAGTATATGGTGGTGTTCAGTGTTTAAAACAATAATACTTACAGAAAAAATGAATTGAAACATCATATTAAAATAAATAAACCTACAATACCTCGAGACATTAAACTTAGGTGACAGTAACATTTGTATAATATCAAAACCTTATTTTCAAAATTTGCTTTCAATGTTTTAACTGCATTAAGAAGTAGTTGATTGAGCTTTACATAGTCTTAATACTGACTGTAATGGCCTTCATTTGTATAGAGCTTTATATAGTTCAAATAGCCCTTTAGATACTCAGTTATCCATCCAATCATGCACACATTAAATTACTAATGATTGCAAGATAGTATAGCCACAGCTGTCTTGGATCTCGCTAACAAAAACGAGGCAGATGTACAGAGGCATTTTAGTACCTTGTTGTGGCTCTCCAACCACCATCAGTCGGATGATGGCCAACAGAAAGAATTACAAGACAGACACAGCAGGGATTTGACGCTTTGCTTGCAAGACTGCTGCTGTCCTGCAGCACCGTCACAGCACCCTTTGTCCTCCAGAACCCTAAACCTATAGCAGCATAATTATAGAGAAAGCTCAGGATAACCTGAGCCGCTCTAACCATAAGCTTTATCAAAAAGGAAAGTTTTAAGCCGCTGAAATAGAGATTAATTAGGTCAAGGAACCTACATACCAAGAAAGACAATAACCCTTATTTACATGCATGGATCACTGTCAGATGTGTATAAAAAATTATAGCAATAAATAAGAAAAGAACTTGCAGAGTGCAGACCTCCACTAAGCAGCAGAATTTGCCCCATATTGTGACTATTGTAAAACTTGCACATGATCTGGATCATTTTCAAATGTTTTGCTCTTACCTTATCCATTCCCTCTGCTTTCTTTTTTGATCAGCAGATCAATAATTCAAGCAAAGCATGCCTCACTTTCTTCTGTTCTTGTCTTATTCCGCTGCTGAAGCTCTTAATAGTCACTGCTACCGCCTTCTGGTTTAGGGGGGAACTGCTTGTTCCGCCAAATAATGTTAAAAGATCCTGCATCCAGATTGTTATGTGGATCATCACCAAAATGTAATAGATTGTTCATTGCTGAGGTACACTTTTGGTAAAAATGTCATTAAAATCCGTTCATAACTTTTCAAATTATCTTGTACACAGACAGACAGACAAACACACATACTAACTCTCCTTGGAGGAGTTAAAAAATGTTGTATTTAACATTAACAATTAACACTAAAGATAAAGTTTTGAATTTGAAAGAATTATTTTAATTATTGCAATTCCTTTTCTGATTTCATGATTTTCATGGATTTTTCTCCTTTCCTTTTATCTTCAACAGACCAGAAGTTTACATCTTGGTCCCCACCTCGAAAGGTAAATGAAGGCAGACGTGTCGCCTCTGCCAGGAACATGAAGGGCTTATCAGGCAGTCGTTCCCAACATCATATTCCTTTATCTCATGGTTTGGACTACGATCCCCACGTTCATGACTTCCATGGCCACCATGGCTCTGACTCCCGCCACCCATCATACCTGCTCAGTCCCACAGAGAGCTGCCCTGTGGACTTTCACCACCGGTACTCACCCAGGAGCTCCATCCACTCCGACTGCATGATGATGTCCCCTGTCATGATGCCCCCAACAGCCGCATCTGACCACATCTCCAGCAGTACCTTCCCCAGAATGCACTACAGCTCTCAGTATTACGACTCTGCCACACGGGAAGACTGTGCTGCCATTACAGCCTCTGCCACCTCACCTGCTGTTGCTGCTGCAGCAGCAGCAGCTGCTGCCTCCTCCCACCATGCCGGCACCAAAAGCAATCGCCTTCCAGCTAATCTGTTAGACCAGTTTGAGAAGCAGATGCCCCTCCACCGCGATGGGTTCCACACGCTACAGTACCAGCGCACCTCTACAACCACTGAGCAACGCAGCGAGAGTCCCGGCCGTATCAGACACCTCGTTCATTCTGTTCAGAAGCTCTTCACCAAGTCCCACTCCTTGGAGGGGTCATCAAAGATGAATGGCACAAAGGCTGATATTGTTGGAGGAGGAGCAGGGTCTTATTACCACCATGGTCATCACTCCACAAAACACGGGAGCAAGAGGAGCAAAAGCAAAGACCGTAAGCACCGTTCGGGAGGTTGGTGGAGCTCCGATGACAACTTGGACAGTGACAGCACCTACCGCACACCTAGTGTGATGTCAAGACACCATGGGGAACATGTCAGCCACTGCTACCCAGACTCCATGCATAGCCATCACTTTGGACAAATGTCGCTCAAGGGCTCCAAGAGTAACAATGATGTCAAGTGCTCAGCCTGTGAAAGCATGGCTATGGCACCTGAGGGCAAATTTATGAAGAGGAGCTCCTGGTCGACACTAACAGTCAGCCAAGCCAAGGAGGCCTACAGGAAGTCATCACTTAATTTAGACAAACCCATGATGCACACAGACCTCAAAACATCTCGAGCATGTCACTACCTTCAGGTGAGTAAACTTCATTTGCCACCGTTTATCTTCATGGTATATTTAAAAAGATATATTGATTAGAATATTTGGCCTCAAACTCATAATAACAATTATATTGTAATACATTTTAAAAATTAAACTTGTCTATAAAGTAAAATAACCCTCTATATTTTATTTATCAATTTACAAATGTATTGTGATGAAGTAGAGTTTAGCTGACTCACTAGTGATGTTTAAGACACTGCTCCATCATAACACATTTGAGAAAATGTCTATAAAGCTTTTCAACCTTGCCTAATGTTCATAATTCTTATTAAAACTGGTCTGTCTAGACTCAGTCTTTAGAAAATACCCATGAATTTCAAGGAAACTGAAATACCAGGCAAACAGTAGCATTTTTTTATGTTGATATGATTAATTAATTATCAGGGTCATTATTGTTTTAATGCAATTCCAGTTAATACATGTGAATAATGTGGTGTGTGCATAAATAGAAATGTATGTTGAAAAGTGCAGGTAGTGCAAATGCAGCCAATCAAATTGGCTGAATGTCTTTTTGACTGTCTGGAGGGATGTGTGCATCGATCATCGGAGAGTGTATTTGTTTAAGTTGGTGTTTTTGTTTTGGCATCAGAGTAGAGACCATTTTTCTGGTTTTACATTCAAACCGAGGACAATTGAGAACATTTAGCTGCTTCTCACCCCCTTTTTTGCTAACGGCCAGATCAGGGACTGAAGTGTGAATTGAGTTTAGGTTAAGGTTAGGGTGAGGTATACAGTGGTTAGGTGTAGGATTATTGTCAGGGTTAAGGCATAGAGGGGGTCAAAATGACAAAAAATCAATGAACGTCAATAGGAGACAAATAGGGGATACAGAACAAGTAAGTGGGAGGATATGCCATCTTTCATTTATATCACATATTACAAAAATTCTTTTACATGCCAGTAAAGAAATGAGAATGATTCCTACTGTTCAACTGGTAAAAATATATATACTTTTTAATTTCTTTAGTGAGAAAAGAATTTTTTTTCTCAGTCTATGTGTCGTTATGTGAATTATTAGCTAGCCTAAAGTGGGGTTTCCCAAAGTGGGGGTCAGGGGTAAGGTAATTTTTAGATTCATTGAGATGTAGCCCCTAAGATTTATGGAGGCTGTAAAAGGTCAAAATAAAATAATACAATATTTCTGTCAGGTTTGGTGGACGTTTGAGAGGAGGACCGAAAAGCAGAGACTGAAGAAGAAGAGCAAAGAAATGACTGACTGAACAGGAGGTGTATATATATTAGACACAGAAACAAAGACCAGGCTAATCAGCAGACTAGGAGCAGGTGTGGACAGAGGAATCTAGAAGGGAGCAAGGGGAAAGGAGACTTGCTCTGTTCGAAAACCTAGGACGGGTCCTCCAAGGATGCGGTCTACCTAGACTGGATCCTTCGAAGTCCTT